CCCAAATTCCTCTGTTTATTTATTTATTTTTAAACTTCACATTAATCCAGACTGGCTTCTCCTTCCTAGCATTCTGTACAGAGGGTAAGAATATTTTATTTCCTACGTGGACCATGAAGAAAGCTTAGATCAATTTAATCACATACACACATCTTCTCCTATATGGGGAGTGGGCATTCTATTATCAGTGAATGGAAGCAAAAAGAAGGTTTCTAAAAAGTTAGAAGAGAAAGAAACAAGTTCTCTAGGGGCACCTGGCTGGCTGAGTTGGTGGAGTGAGAGACTCTTGACCTTCAGGGTGTGAGTTCCAGTCTCACACTGGGTGTAGAGACTACTTAAAAATAAAATCTTAAAAAAAAAAAGAAAGAAATTCTCTAGCAGTAAGGTAACAGTATTATTTTCCTTATTTGGGGTGAGCTGATTAGCAGGCACCTTGCAAATAGACCTGTCTGATTGATCTGTCCTGAGCAAACTGTTTGTGGAGTCATCAGAGCAAAACCAACTTCCGTTAATTAATTATTAGTCATCCAAAGTTCCCCGGGAGTCCATCTGCGATAAGAAAGGCTGTCTCTCCCTGTAATCTCTGTCACGGTCCCTCCTTAAGCAACACCCCCTAACCCAGGCTAAGCTGACTCAGAATTTTTTCCAAAGCACAACCATCCCTCCAGTCACCTTTATTTTTATTTCTATGCAGCTAGGGCTGCCTTTTGTCTTTTTTTTTTTTTTAATCTGCTGGGGGTGGAGGAAGAAAGCAAAAATAGTGCAGTAGGCAAAGGGTAAAAGAGTCCCTAATTCAAATACACCCTAAGACTTTCGGATCACAGCAAAGGCAATATCTCGATTACTGCCCAATATGTCACATGGGGGCATTGTGGAACTGCTGAGTTCCAAAAGTTGCTAGGACAGAGCAAGGGGCCAGAGCCAGCCACCTGGGACCTGGAGGGTTAAAGAATAGCCTTGTTTGGTGCTTTTATGCACTCCACGGCTTAAAGCTGTAAACACTAATTTGCGGTGGTGCTGTCCCATTAGGGTGCTAGAACTTCAGGTCTGGGATTAGGGAGTCTTTCAGAGCTTGCAAGGGGAAATGAGAGGTGGTCCTGGGAGGGGGCACACAGCATGCTCCGGGCGGAGACAGGGAGAGGAACACCTAAAAGGAAACGCACAGGAGCTGTGCACACAGGCATGTGGCCTAAACCTAGGCAGCCTGGACCGTCCATCCAGCCCTGCTCCCTGCAGTTACATAAGAGGTTTTGCAGGACAAAGCAGGGCTCCTGCATCAGGCTAGCCAGGGAGCTGGCAAGAGAGGCCAGGTTCATGGGAACCAGGAAAGACAGTGACAGCAGAGCAGTGACATTTTTGCTTCAACTCCAGAGAAGGGATGCCCAGGTCTTCAGCTCCCAGACCTCTGAGCAGGAAGGAACTTGGCCAGTGCTCCCCTACCTGCCATGGGCTACAGTCTCCCCTGCTGTGTGGACCTTTGTCTCCTGGGAGCAAGTATGTCCTTGAAAAAGGTGGGGACATCTCTGTTCTAAGCCTGATGGCACCCGAATCTGTGGCACTGTCGGGATCTGTCTCATGTTCTTTCCCCAACCCCTGTGTTCTTCCCTCCCAGGCCCAGTGAGGGCTGGAGTCACCCAAACACCAAGACACCTGATCCAAGCAGGAGGACAGCAAGTGACACCGAGACATTCCCCTATCTCTGGGCAGCCCAGTGTGTCTTGATACCAACAGGCCCTGGGGCAGGGCCCCCAGCTTATTTCCATGAGTTACAGAGAGCAAAAGGCCACTTCCTTGGATTAATCCTCAGTGCAGCAGTTCAGTGACTATCACTCTGAACTTCTTGGACACTGGACTCAGCCGTGGTCTCTGTGCCCACAGCCGGGCGCAGCCCTGCAGGGTCACCAGCGCTCCGTGCACACACCTTCCTGCCCGAGCGTGGAGCAGCCTCAGGGCTGCAGACCTGGGAGGCGGGAAAGAGAAGGGGTTTCGGGTCCTGCCAAGTGCAGCCTCTGGCTCCTCTCCCACTCAAGGTCAACAGGACAGCAGGCTCCCTTCAGAGGCTGCTGCTGCTGCTGCTGCTGTACCCAGAGGCTCACTTCAAAATTACCTTCCTGAAAAAAAAAAAAAATTACCTTCCTGGCCTGCCACTCTATACTGCAAGCCTAAAGGAGCAATTTGCAATTTCACAGCTGGCACCCTGTTTTCGGGAGGGAGAATTCATTTGGGGATCAGAATTGCTTGATAAATATGTAGCTAAAAGGTAGAGTTCCAGAGATTTGTTTTATAGAATACAGAGAGAAAAAAAATTGAGATTTTAGGGAAAGTATAGATGAGAAAATACGATTATGGATGGTTGAGAATAGAGATAGAGCTACAAAATTATGAAAAACTATGTTACTGGGCAGCCCGGGTGGCTCAGCAGTTTGGGGCCATCTTCAGCCCAGGACGTGATCCCAGAGACCCAGGATCGAGTCCCGTGTTGGGCTCCCTGCATGGAGCCTGCTTCTCCCTCTGCCTGTGTCTCTCTGTGTCTCTCATGAATAAATAAATAAAATCTTAAAAAAAAAAAAACTATGTTATTGGTCATGTAATCTCTTTTCTCACTCCTCTGAGTCTCCAATACCCGGAAAATACAAAGCGAGGCCTTACAGCAACCACATCACCCTGTGTGGGCCCCAGGCAAGGACAGGCTCGTGGGAACCAGGACGTCCCCTGAGAACCCTGGAGCTGATTCTGACCTGCCTTCTGGACTTCTCATCCCTGGCTTGCCGTCCCCCGCAGAGGCGGGCATGCCTCCCCTGATCACAAACAGGCAAAGGCTCTCCAGTTCCCCCCAAGATCAGTTCTGCTTCCCTGGAATAGCTTTCCACACGTCATCGCCCAGCTGCTATTAGCTTCAGAACGTCACTTCTTGGCAGTCTCTGGATGCCTCATTCTCTGTGACCAAATCGCTCTTTTAAATCCTCTGCATCTGCATTTGCTATTCTCCGGGTCTAGAAGGCCCTTCTCTGCTGCCCAAACATGGCCAGATAGTAGTCATCTCTCAGGGACTGGCTCATACATTGCTTCTCACCCAGACATTCCATGACACTAATAGTCTGCTCAGGCTGCTCTAACAAAATACCACAGACTGGGAAGGCTCAAACAATAGATATGTATTTTCTCACAGTCCTGCAGGTTGGAAGTCCAAGACCAAGGGGCCGTGGGGTTAATCTGGGGGAGTGCTCTGTTATTCCTGGCTTGCAGGCAATTGCTTTCTCGCTATGTGCTTGTGTGAGGACAGAGAACGGGTTCTCTGGTGTCTCTTCCTCTTCATTAGGACATCAGTCCTCTTGGTCCCACACTCACTACCTCATTTAGCCTAACTGCTTCCCTAAAGACCCTACCTCCAGATACCCTCACACTGCGGGTTATAGTCACATTCAATGTATGAATTTGCGGGGGGGGGGGTGGAACACAATTTAGTTCATAATAGCAATGTTGCTCTCTTTATTTCCATAGGAAAAGCCAAGTGTATACTTGATACTCTTTGACATTGTGAAATGAACGAATGAATGACCACCCACAGAGAACCTTGGAATATTATTAATCACGAAATGTTTTCCTTCACAGGGATCTGCTCTTACCTGGGATGTAAGGTAATCTTGGCTCTCCCTCCGACTTCTGCAATATTCTGAGCAGTTTTGTTTTCATAGCCAGGACTGGCGACCAGTACTGCCTAATTGAATCTACAGCCGACATATGCTAATGTTGTTTTTGGAACAGAGAAAATTATGTTACAGTCACAGTTACTGGTATCATGATCTGGTAAAGAATTTTCCTTCACCAGCTACCACTACATCCTTAGAAACATCTCTTGCCATCATCAAGGGTGCTTCTTGGAAATGAATCTGAGAAAGAGATAAAGAAAAATTGCTGTGCTTGTAATAAAACCTTGACATCCTTGCCAATTAAAGGGTAATTGTGTGCATACGTGTGTGTGCACGTGTGTATGCATGTGTATGCATGTGAGTGTGTTTTTCTTGTGGAGACACACAAAATAGGAATAGCTTCTCTCTGGATGGAATTTATGAAGAGGCTTTGGGTCACAGCATAGGACTCACAGTACGTCTGTGTAACGATTGTGAACGTCAGGCCCAACTGGACCTACAGTGACTATAGCTGACAGGGTTTATTTATGGTTTTGTAAGTTCAAAAGTAAATAGGTAAAATAGAGAAACCCTATTTATAAGATGTGCTATTTAAAATTTGGTAATCAAAAAAAAATAAAAATAAATAAAAAAATAAAATTTGGTAATTATTAATTTATGTACAAAATCTGGAAACACATGGATCTGGTTAATCAGGGGGACGTATGGAATATAGTGTTTCCAGGCTGGATCCACATGAGATCATCAGAGTGTTTATTTTTATGGCTCATATTATTCTGACTTGCCTCTTTCATTATAGCATACTAATTGCAATGGGGAAGCAATTATTTCCTTCATAATCAAAATGTTGGTTCAGATAATCTTTTGCCTTCGCAGGCTAAGGGTGGATTTGAAGATCACTCCTTAATCAGCCGGGCTGGGGAAGCAGGAGAAAGCATGTGGGAGGGGCGGCGGGTTTGTCCTTGATTTAGATAGAGGGTGTGCATCCGTGAGACTGCGAGCCATCAGCCACATGGAGGAACTGTGCCCCCACATTAGGGCAAGGTGTCCCCACAGAGGGTTTGAGACAGTGGCCCAGGAGAGAACATTGGAAAGGAATTCTTGGCTACCTGCTTGCATCAGGCGGTTTGAGTTCACTGAGTGGGTCCTGGGACACATGGAGCTAACACGGGCTCCTCGCTGGCCAAGAAGAGGACACGCCTTGAACCTCAGAATGCATCAAGGAGATACTCTCTGTGCCTGGAAGGGAAGTGGAGCCCCAAGGGCCAGGTAATTAGAGTCAGGCAGGGGCAGGCAGAGGGAAATATTAGGTGAATATTAGGACATGCTCACCTTGCACTCACCCCTTGTGGAGGCACTGGGCAGGACAAGGAATAGCGCGGGGAGTAGCGGATCCTGAGTCCTAGCAAAGTAGCCTTTGGTACTAGACCAGAAGGTAGCCCGCAGACACAGCGGTGACATCATAGGCAAGTAGTCCTATCAGGGAAATGGGAGGTTCAGCACCTGAGACTGCTCACCCCAGCAGACCCCAGCCCCGAGCGGGGAGGCTATCAGCTTCCCAGGGCTGCCATGGGCTCCAGGCTTCTCTGCTGTGTGGCCCTTTGTCTCCTGGGAGCCGGTGAGTTGCAGGCGCGGTGAGAAAGCCTGATATGCACTTGCCACCCCTGTCATACAGGCTTGCTGGTGATGGCTGCTGCAGGAGGCTTCCTCCCATGCTCTACCCTCAGCTCCTTTCTCTCTCCTCCCCAGCAGGCCCCGTGGAGTCTGAGGTCATCCAAACTCCAAGACACATGATCAAAGCAAGAGGACAGACAGTGACCCTGAGATGTTCCCTTATCTCTGGACACCTATCTGTGTACTGGTACCAACAGGCCCTGGGCCAGGGCCCCCGGTTTCTCATTCAGTATTACAATAGGGAAGAGGGAGACAAAGGAGACATCCCGGCAAGATTCTCAGTGCAGCAGTTCAGTGACGCCAGCTCCCAGCTGGAGATGAACTCCCTGGAGCCAGGAGACTCAGCCCTGTATCTCTGTGCCAGCAGCTTGGCACAGCCCTGCACGATCGGCAGGCTTCTGTACAAAAACCTTCCACCCCTCCAGCTCAGGAAGTGTGGCGAGGGTGGCGGTGCCAACCACAGTGGCCCGGGCCCAGGTAAAGCAGACGGGCCTCTCCCAGATGCTCCTCCTGCAGCCTTCGTGTGTGGCATGTCCTAATGCTCACAGAAATCATGCAAGAGAAGTATTATTTTACCTGTTTACATACATGAGGGGAAGCAGCTTTCCCCGGTCTCATATTTCATAACCAGCAGAGCAAGGAACAGTTCTGTCCCACGACACCTGTGCTCACCCACACACACATCGAACTGTCATCCCCTCATCTGGTTTCCCTTCTCCAGTCCAGATTAGCAGAGCAGGAAAGATCACGCACCATATGTGATTATCATAACCTCTTCCCTGACAGCTTCAAGGAATATGACTTCAAGGTGAAGAATAGCCATTGATCCTCCACTGTAACAACAACAACAACAACAACAAAAATAAATAAATAAATAAATAAATAAATAAATAAATAAATAAATAAATAAATAGAAAAGGGCAGTGTTCTTCGAGCTATGTTCTTCCAGCTGCACGGCAAAGGGAATGCGATGTTTGCAAGGAAAAAATTCTGGGTTCCTGCATATGCTGCAATCTATGGTGAGGGAAAGAACCATGGATACTCATTATTTATTTCCTAGTCTCTTACTTTCTGGTTTTGGGTCCCTTCCTCTGTATAAAATACCGTATCGCATAAAATAGAAAGTGCAATTCAGTACAGTTCTTGTCTTTGAGAGTTTTAAGATCTGCTGTAGTAAACGTATAATATTTAGCTTAAATATTTGACGATTTCTATTGGACCCATCTGTCCCATGAGAGCAGGTGACTCACAAAACTGCAAGTGCTGAATATGTTAATGAACAGACACGGTTCAGCCCTGCTGCGGGTAGAGACTCACGGGAGAAAATAGCACTATCATGGATTGACAACTTACCATAGGCCAAATAAAAGTCCTTTACTTGCAAAATTTCCATTAATTATCAGAAGAAAAAAAAAAGTCTAAGAGATAAATACGGTTTCTGCTGTCATTTTAAAGATGAGGGGATTTGCCCTGAAGTTAGAGAACTTGACCAAATCAAATAGCTGGTCGGATGCAGAAACGGGGTTCAGAGCCGGTCTAACGGACTCTTGAGCGCTGTGTTTACATCTCTATGCTATCGTGCATGTCCATGGAGACACCCACCCTCAAAACCAGAATGTTGCTCCACGTCCTAGCCTGCCTGGCTCTAATGAAATTGTTGCAGAGATCAGTTTACCTGGGAGAAAGTGGTGTGGAGAAAGACTCCCAACTAGGCACCGTGTGGATCTGGCTCTGGCTCCAGTTCCAACACAACCTGTTAGTCAAGACCTGAGATCAGTTACTTGACATGATGGGCTAAGAATTTTCACATATAAAATGAGCGTAAATATCCATCGGTATCGCTTGGAGTACACCGGAGAAGCAAAACAGATTACACACACACACACACACACACACACAATTTATTCATTTTAGAGAATCAATTTGCATAGTTGCGGAGGCCAATAAGTCCAATATCTATAAGCTGGGCTGGTGGTGCTGGAGACCTAGGGAGAGCCCATGTTCAAGTTCAAAGGCCATCAGCTGGACAGTTCTCTCTTACCTGGGGAGGAATCCATCTTTTGGTTCTATTCAGGTCTTCAACTGATTCGATGAGGCCCACCCACATTATGGAAGGCAACCTGCTTTATTTTTTTTAATTTTTTAAAAAGATTTTATTTATTTATTTATTTATTTATTTATTTATTTATTTATTTATTTATTTATAGAGACGGGGGGTGGGGGGCAGAGGCACAGGCAGAGGGAGAAGCAGGCTCCATGCAGGGAGCCTGACATGGGATTCGATCCAGGGTCCCCAGGATCACACCCCGGGCTGCAGGCGGTGCTAAACCGCTGCTCCACCGGGGCTTCCCCCTGCTTTACTTTATTGACTAAAATGTTATTCTCACCTAATGTTAAAATCTACCTATTTAAATGTTAATTGCACCCAAAAACACCCCCTCAGGAGCACCCAGAATGATGTTTAGCCACATATCTGCGGCCCGGTCAAATTAACACGTATAATCAGCCATCATACCAACTCCAAGGGCTGTGTAAAAATTTAATAAGCATAAAGTACCTACCTAGCACATAATAAGAATCTGGATATCATGATTCCTTTTGATAATGTCTGATAGTTTTTTCTACCATTTCCTATGAACAAAGGTAGGTATGGACACGTTTTACACTCCTACAGCTATCACAGAAATGGAAACATTTATGCCCAATGAATCTTAGGAGATTAACCAGAGCATGTAACATCCCTTCTTAGGCATTTTAACATCAACTTTATTAACATTTTAATGATATGCCATAAGAATTACACACTTTAAATGATCCTATCAATAGTTTTTTGGCTGCTTTTGGCTCAGGTCATGATCCTGGAGTCCTGGGTTCAAGCCCCACATCGGGCTCCCTGCTCAACCAGGCGTCTGCTTCTTTCTTTCCCTCTCCCTCTGCCTCTCCCCTCACTGGCTAGTGCTCTCTTTCTTTATCTCTCTCAAATTAATAAATAGAATCTTTAAAAAATAATAAAGTCTCTACCCATTAAAACAATTTCTCTTTAGTACACATCTAAATATATTTAAGAGAAGGAGGTGCTTCTAGAAAGTTCTATAGTTAAAGGGAGCTTGAAATCACATGAAATACATGATCCATGTTAGGGACAATTCTATCTATAGATAGATGGTTTGATAAAATGATCATCAAAAGCTCTTTTGAGATGCTTGAAGCTGTTTCTATAAAATTTATCGACTCTGGCAACCTGGGTGGCTCAGTCGTTTAGCGCCACCTTCAGCTCAGAGAGTGATCCTGGAGACCCGGGATCGAGTCCCATGTCAGGTTCCCTGCATGGAGCCTCTAATTCCTCTGCCTGTGTCTCTGCCTCTGTGTGTGTGTATGTGTGTGTGTGTGTGTGTGTGTGTATCTAATGAATAAATAAAATCTTAAAACGAAATTTATTTACTCATTTTATTTCATTTATTTTCTCCTGAACCCATTCATTCAAATTATTTTATAATGAAGTTTTGACAAAAAGTCATCATCTCCAAGGAAATTATTTTGTGTTCCTATCAGATGCATACAAAGTTGGGCTTCATGTTCACACACTGTGTGCTGAAGCTGAGCAGACCATAGGCAATGGTGACATCATTGAGCAATCATTCCATGTTGGGAGAAGGGTTCCCTGGACCCAGTGTCAAGCCCTCAGAACATGAGCCTTGAACTGGAAAATCCCCCTTTTGTTCTGACCTCACCTACCACCGTTGCCCTGGATGGTATGGTCTTCTGTCTCCTAGACCAGCAAAGTCCGAGGCACAGATGTGAAGCCCACTTCTGGGCCTGCCAGACCCCAACTCAAGGCTTGACATTGTGGCTATAACATCAGGCTCCCCTTGAGTTCCAGCTTTGGGTTCTGTGTCCTCTCCTGGGCCCCAAAGAAGCTGATTCACAAAGGGCCCAGACATATGGTCGTGCAAAAGGGAAACCAGCACACCTGGAGGTGGCATCAGATAGGAAACACAAAATCACGTACCCAGCACCAGCTACATGGTTTACAGAGCCCCTGGTTCAAATGTTATTAAGAATTTGAAGATCACAACAGCAGAGCATGGAAGTCGGTGTGGGCTTCCTTCTAAGCATGGGACTATGGGCAACAGGATACAGTTTCTGAGCTTCCTTGTCTTTATTACTTAAAGAATGACAGCCACTCTTCACAAGAAGATATTCCCCATGGAATGGATGTCTCAAAAACAAAAACAAACACAAACAGACCACTGTGCACTTACCCTGGAGGCTGCTACCTTTCCACAGTCCCTGACGCATCTGAATGCGTGTCAATGCGTCCTCTCAATGTATCCTCTGCACCGCGGAGCAGACATCATCTTGCCATAGAGAAAGGTCAATCACGGGTGTGAGGTGCTTCTGCTTGCTGCTATCTCACCCCAAACTTGGGAAGCAAGAGCTCTTGTGAGCATGAAGTCGCTCTGGCTATATTTGGCAGGTGTCCTATTAGTGAATTGATAAGAAGCAGAGCAAAACAGGTCCTCAAGAATTGATGAGCTTGCTCTTGAGATTTAGAAACCAGATACCAGGAGAACTGTAGCTGGAAGGATTTTAACAGGATGGTGTTTAGTGAAGCAAAATGGAAACAGATACTTGAAGGAATATTTGGGATTTACAAGTCATAAAAGGCATCAGGAAGCCCTAAGGATTTTTTCCCCCAATTCCGAACTATAGAGATACACAAAACCAGTGTGTTGATGAAGAATTATGTCACAGAAATAAAATGTACATAAGGTTACAGATTGTTTTACGAAAAGGTGAAGATTGACTTGTAAGAGTTGTGTCAATTCAGACAAGTCCTTTCTTCCCATCCTAAGCTGTTCACTTGTGCCTTGATTTTTCTATTGTACCTTCTGGGGAAGGGGTGTGGCCCCTTGCAAGGGTTGGCTCCAGGTCCAGGCAGGAAGAATAATGACATCTCAGAACGACTTCCTGGAGGGCCGCCTTCCCTGCTCATCAGCACACAGATCCAGAAGACCCCTCTGTCTGCCCTGCTCCTGTCATGAGTGTCAGTCCCCTGTGCTATGTGGGTTTTTGTCGTCTGCAGGCAGGCAAGTCCTGGGCAGGATCCCTTTCCTAGGTGAAAATCTCAAGGTCCCAGCCCTAAGCCTTTCCGTTGTATGTGTGATATCAGCTTGATCTCCTTCTCTACAGGACCGCTGAATGCTGACCCTCAAATTTCAGATCCTGGGGACAGGACAGAGCGTGACCCTGGAATGTGACCAGGTTATGAACCACCACATTATGTACTGGTATCGACAAGACCATGGACATGGGCTGAAGCTGATCCATTACTCAGTGAGTGCTGGTACCTCTGCAAAAGGAGACATCCCCGATGGATACAGTGTCTCTAGGTCAAATCCAAGGAGCTTCCTTCTCAAGCTGGAGTCTACAACCCGCTCCCAGGCATCTGTGTCCTTCTGTGCTGGCAGTGTGGCCACAGCGCTGCACAGCTGCCTCCTCTCCACACAAAAAATGGAAGGGGAGGCCCCACACCCTGGAAGTCAGTGGAGCCCTCTGCACACTCCCAGGTCCAAGAGCCTAGGAGCCCAGGAGCCGTGAGTGGCCCATGCACTCCGTGTGAACCTCTGTGTGTGCTGAGACCTACCTCCAGGGCACTCTCAGCCTGGCCCAGACCTGCCCAGGCATCAGGTAGCTATGTCTCCACCTTTGCTCTGTCTGTGCTCTGCTGGGCGGATGCCTCTCCAGCTCTGACTGTTCTAGTCAACGGCCTGAGTCTGAGCCTCCAGGATGGAAATTGTTTGTGTTGTATGAACAATGCAATGTATTACTAACAATGTATTGTTAAATCAGATACATCTAGACCCCCTGTCTCTCCCTGGGACCTCAGCTGCATCTCCCTCTAATGCCCTGGTATGGACTCTGCCCCTGCCAGCCTATCCCACGGGGTCAGTCCCCCTACAAGGCCCTGATGGGTCTGTCCTCTCCTCACCTCTGAACCCATATTGCATAGCTTGCTGGTCCTCTCTGTTCCAGTCAAGATGCTAGGATCTCTCTCCGCCTTCCCATCTCAGGGAAGTCCAAGGCTATTTCCTTGAACTGGGCTTGGATCCTTCCTTTTTGTAATGGCTGATTCCCACTCTCACTCCTGTTCCAGGTCCCCCTGAGTGGCTGGCCACTTCTGGGTACACCTGTTTCCCAGGTAGGTGGCGGACACAGTTGGCACGTCTCTGTTCTAGATTTTCCAGTCCTGACTGCACACTTTTCTCTCAATCAGTTTTAAAGTACTGGCATCAAAAAGACCACCTTCTCTGACAATATTACATTGAGGACTAAAAGGAAAAAAAAAAGGTAGCCTTCATAAAACAACAACAACTCATGTTTACAAATATAAAAATGTAATTCTTTTATTTTTATTTTTATTTTTTTTGTAAAAATATAATTCTAAATAAATGCTGAGATTTTACCAGAAATCTAAATAGGAATTTTAAAATGTTTAGAAACAAGAGACATGGAGAATACAAAGGCTATACTTAGAGGGAAATTTATAGATGCAAAGGACTTACAAGTTCAAAAAGTAATAATCTAAATGTCAAGCTGAGGACATAGGATGAGTATAGAATACTCTTCCTCTAAAGGAAGTAAAATCATAAAGATAAAGAAGAAAAATGGGTGAAACCAAAAGCAAAATATCTTCGTAAGATCCAACAATGACAGACACTATTTTGGAAACTAGTAAAATAAATACTTTAGGCAGGACTGACGAGGAAAGATGGGTGGTGAAAATAACATTAAACATCAAAAAGAAAGGATAGCTAAAAATAGAACAAAGCCCAAACTGTTAAAGAACACTGTGAAAATTGCCATTAAATTAGAAAGAAAAATAAATAAATAAATAAATAAATAAATAAATAAATAATAGATTAGAAAGAAATGAGGATGTATGAAATATTAGTGTAATCTCATCAATAGCTAACGTCTACCCACCTCCTGAAACATCAGGCACAGGTAGTTTCACAGTTGAATTTTACCAACTGGTCAAATAATCGACCATTTCAATGTTATCTAGAGAATCGAGAAAGGAAGCTCTCCAACACATTTTATGAGCTATAACAACCTTGAGCAGAGCTCAGTGTCCTAGGACCAGGCCCCAAGTCAAGGGGGTGGGGATGGCCAGTGCTGGCCCAATCCTACTGTGGCTTCCGTAATTTTGTACACACTTATTCTTTTTATCTCAGAAACAATTCCAGGAACATGGAAAGATATTTTATCCCTGAGTCCGCTTTGCTTTGACTATCATTTCCCAGGTAGATTTAGGAATGTCTCCTTCACCTGCAGGCTCCTTGGACAGTCACCCAGACCCCTGACATTCAGTCACAAGAATGAGATGAGCAATTATAGCACTTGGGTGAGAGTGGTGAAGTTGTGAAGCAGGTACTTACTGCATACCTATGAATGCCTTCCCCCCCTACACCCCGTTAGGAGGGCCCTCTGCTGATTTCTTGAGCAAGAAGCAGAGCCACCAAGCCACAAGGATCCTCTTTGACCCCAGCACCTTGCTCACACTCACCCAGTCCTCTCTGCTACTGTTCTCTCTCTGATGGAAAGGATCCATGCAACTCCAGTTGACCTACTGATAAAAGTGGCCAGACATTGATGGCTATAGAACAATTGGAAGCTCTGCTCGCAGTCAAAGGGAGAAATAAATGAACTATAACACAACTTCTTAGGTTTCAAGGACAGTTAAGTTTGTTATTCCACGTTACACATCACTGTTTTGAAGGTCAATAAGGTTGAGTCGTCTTCCGTAAATCAGCTATCAAGAATCTAATTTTTATTAATTTTTTTATTTTTTAAAGATTTTATTTATTTATTCATGAGAGACACAGGGAGAAAGCAGAAACATAGGCAGAGGGAGCAGCAGGGTCCTCACAGGGATCCTGATGTGGGACTTGATCCCAGAACTCCGGGATCATGCCCTGAGCCGAAGGCAGACTCTCAACCACTGAGCCACCCAGGTGTCCCAGGAATCTAATTTTTAATGCCTGGTGACTTATTCTGGCCTGAGGCTTTGCTCTGAGCTGTGGGGACATAATATTGAGGGGACACAGGTCCTTGCCAACTACAGAAGGAAGAGGAGCTGCCAACTCAAATAGTTTCTCAGGGCATCGCTTCATCCCTGCATCCCTCAATATGCCAGTGCACTCAAGAGATTCCTAGGGCGAAATTGAGCCACCACCACCACCACCCACCCCAGGGCCTACTCTTGCCTAAGAAATGGATAATGTTGGGTGTGTGTCACTCGGAGAATGGAGGGGATGGTGACAAAATAATTGAGATCCTGACTTGCAGATGAAACAATGAATTCCCCCTTTGGTCCCTTGAATTACAGGTGCTGTGGACACATCTCGGTGACAACACCCAGCAGACCGAGGTGAGGATGGGTGAAGGAGAAGATAAACTTCACACGCTGTGTGACACCACTGCATCCAGACGGCTCTGGAGCTGAAAGGGACAACCTAGGTGTTGAATCTCTTAAGAAAGGAGCTTATAAATATTTAAGTTAGTCATCCAAATATGGTATAATGTAAATTGTGTTCTTCGAAGTCATGGGGATTGATAGAGGTGGTGATGTCACTATGAGAACCACCTTGTAGGGATGAGGGACCTCCCTCCTCCTCTGCTCATGCTCATGAGAACCTCAACCCGGCAAACCTCCCAGGCCAGCCCTGGCTCCACCATGGGCCCCAGGCTCCTCTGCTGTGTGACCCTCTGTCTCTTGGGGGCAGGTGGTGAGTCCTCAGAATGCCAAGCAGTCTCAGGGAACGCGGGCCTGTGACTGTGAGCCGTGGTTCTGTGCAATGAGTACAATCTGTTTCCTCCTCACTGTGTTCAGCTTCTGTCCCCACAGGTCACGCAGAACCCGGAGTCTCCCAATCCCCCAGGCACAGGGTCACGAAGAGGGGCCAGGATGTATCTTTCACCTGTGATCCCATTTCTGGGCATGTTGGTCTTTACTGGTACCGACAGACCGTGGGGCAGGGCCCGGAGTTTCTGGTTTACTTCCAAAACGAAGAGGCAGTGGACGAGTCAGGGCTGGACAAGACTCGGTTCTCTGCCAAGAGGCCCGAGGGGACCAGCTCCACTCTGCAGATCCAGCGTGCAGAGCAGAGGGACTCGGCTGTGTACCTCTGTGCCAGCAGTCTCACCACAGTGGGGCACAGTCACCTCCTTCCTCTTTACAAACCTCATCCTCCCCTCTCCTTGCTGTGGCTGGCGCCCCTAAACAGGCTCTCTAGTCCCCAGTGGGAAGAAGTGGGACATCAGCTGTCCTGTGGGTAGAAAGAGACACAAGATAAACTCGCTCAATGAAAATAAATGTCGGTGGATGAAACCCTTCTGGCTCCTTGGGTTCCAGGAGTCCCAGAGGCAGTTCAGGCATATTTTTCCCGTCCCTCTGTCCTTTCGGCCATGTAGCAGCAAGCCTGTCTTGCTGTTTGAAGTTCAGGCCTTTACTACATTGGTGGTGGTGAGGGGACGAGCTCCCTACCAAAGATAAGACCTCATTTCCTCTGCCCCTTTTGGGTGGCTCATTGTCACTATTTGTTGCCATTTTCCCAGCACCGTGGTCCTGATAGTGAGCCTGCAGCACACTTGAACGGCTTCCCCAGCTTCAGCCTGATGCCCAGAGTGAATCCGATTTCTAGAAACGGTGTGCTTTTTTCTTTGATGCGCTAGCCTCTTGAGTTGAAACCATTTCCCTGAATTGATTCGAGAAGACAGGATATTTTCTTCATAATAATGCCCCCATTCCTTTTTCTTTGTTTTATTTGCTACATTATATATTGTTATATGTTGCTTGTCATAAATATAAATAATAATGCACTAATACCATCTTCCACTCGCCTGTGGGTGAAGCTGTGGTTTGGATCTATGAACCCTAAAGCCGTGCTCAGAGCTCACGGGATCTCGGATCACGGGTTTCTGGGTGTCCTGAGAGGAAGCCCAGGGGTCCAAGACTGGGACAGAAGTCACGGACTCAGCAATGATGGGGATGCTCTGAGCCTTGCCTAGCTGGTAAGGGGGTTATAGTCATCCCAACTCTAGTTCTCGGAAATTGTGGTGGGCTCAGGGCACCAAATCTCTTTTTCCCAGAGAATGAGTGTCTTTGGAAGGGAGTTTTCCTGGTCTTATTTTTTTTCTAATTCATTTATTATTTTATTATTTTTTTAAAGAGGGAGCGGGGGAAAGAGAATCTTAAGCAAGCTGTACTCCTAGTGAAGAGCCCGATGCGGTGCTCAGTCTCACAACCCTGAGATCATGACCTGAGCCAAAATAAAAAAATTGGACACTTAGCCAACTGAGCCATCCAGGTACCCCTGGTCTTACTGTGATTGTGGCATCAGCACAGCACTGCTTGCTCTGCTTCCCTGTCCCTGCGAAAGTGAGAAAGTCTCGGTTACAGTAGGGAGTTCCTTATCTTTGGAATGCCATTCTGGGGACTTCTTTCCTAGACCTTGTTTCCAATTTTGCCTCTTTTCTCCACGTGACCCCGGCAAATCCAGCTTCCCGATAATGCTACCTTCCCTCCCTGCTGCCTAAACGAGCAGATGCACATTGTACAAACTCCATTTAATGTAGACTGTCCCTTGCTCGTCTTAATTCCATCCATCCTTGTTTTTCCTATTAGATATTGCATCTTCCATGATTGCTTATTGTCTTATAAGATGTCCTGTATTTTTCTGGTATTCCAATTTTATTTTTTATTGAGACATCCTGGACCTGACCACATCCTGAAGGTAATCTTATTGTACTCGTCGTCTTCTGTGGATCTGTATTTTGGAGGTACTATTGATTACCCATTGGTGGCAAAAGGGGGCATTTTTGTTTACCTCCAGTAACAGAGATAAAAGAACCTCCTTACACTTTAGTCTTCTGTAATTTTTTCCCCGATTTTTAGACTAAATACTATTTTCCTCCATTCCTCCCATTCTGTCCCTCTCCCTTTCAGGAGATAGATTTAAGGGAGAAGATTCCAATTAGATTTAACTGCCAGATATGTGGTAGAAGGAGAATGGGGGAGTAAGCATGGGAACTCAAAGGAATCGATTTAGGATTGGGTGTTGGTATTGGGATTCGGGTTTCAGGAGGTTGAGCATAAAATTTGTAGGATGCTGCTCCTGGAATATTCTCCCTACTGGGTCTGCAGACACTTCTCAGCATCCCTGGGGCCACTGCAGAAGAAACAGTTGTGAAACTGCAGTCATTGGCCACGAGATGGCACTGTGATGCCACTGACATCAAAGGGGCTCTGAGGGAAGTTGGGGGAAAGCAACCAAGGGAGGGAAAGGGTTAAGAAAAACAGGCGGGGATCCAGTATCTGGCAGATGTGGAAGAGGTTTTCAGCTATTGCTAGGCTACCTACAGCTATGGAAGAGGTGGGAGGTCCCTCTAAACAGCAATGAGCTCCACAGTTGAAGGATTGGGGCAAGGCAGCCTTGATGCCAGGGGCAGGTGCAGACAGAGGAGCAACTGTCTCAGAGGAATATGGGAAACTAAAAGGGTGGGGTGCACCCTGAACTCAGTGCACTGCAGCCACACCCCATCTCCCCTGAAGGCCTCGCTAAGCAATGTCTGAGAGAGGAGTAGCTGACCCTGCCGGAGCAGAGTGGGAAGGGACCCTGGGCCAGGGAGTCTGCAGGGGCGGGAGGCAGCGACCATCCAGGGAGACTCACCAATCCCTTGGAGAAGGGCTTCCAAACTCCCTCTCTCGGTCCTGTGGATGAAAGCATTTAGCTGGGACAGGTCCCTTCTCACCTGCCTCTGCCATGAGCCTTAACCTCTTCTGTGTGACTCTTTGTCTCCTGGGAGCAGGTGAGTGCTGGACTCAGCTGGACACCTGTGCCAAGGTTTTGCAAAGTCACAGCTCCAAGCCTTTTCCGTTCTTTTGCAGATTCAGGTTACTCCTTAAGTCTTGCCTTTACCCTCTGTCTGCCTCTCCAACAGGCCCCATCGATGCTGTGATCACCCAGATGCCAAGACACCGTATTATACAAAGAGGAACCAAGATGATCCTGGAATGTTCTCAGGATATGAACCATTTTGCAATGTTCTGGTATAGACAAGACCCAGGACAGGGGCTGATGCTGATCCATTATTCAAGTGATGTCAGAAGCACTGCCAAAGGGGATGTCGCAGAAGGGTACAACGTCTCCCGAAATGTGAAGGAGGATTTCCCCTGACCCTAGAGTCAGCTGGCACCAACCAGACCTCGCTGTACCTCTGCGCCAGCAGTTTACCCACAGCGCTGCTCAGCCAGCTGCGCTCTGCACCGAAACCTCAGCCATAAGCATGAAAGATCTTCGTTCTTAAGCCCCTGCTCAGGAGGGGGAAGAACCTGCTCTGACTGAGGCTTCCACCTGACTTGCTGGCAATGGGTTCTCAGGTTGAAGGGCCTTGTACAGGGTGATCCTCAGTGTGAACCGTGTGCTATCATTGTGCAAAGGGGTGTGAAAGTACACGCAAATAGCACCTAATGTTATTGCACTCACTCTGGGATATTCTGGTAATTGAGTAAAGCAGAGGAACAAGTAGCATCTAACATGAAATTTCTATTTCCCTTTCTTTATCTTTATTTTTAAAGATTTTATTAATTTATTTGACAGAGAGCACAAGCAGGCGGAGCAGCAGGCTCCCCGCTCTGCAGGCTCAATCCCAGGACCCTGAGATGAAGGTAGACGTTTAACTGACTGAGCCACCCAGGAACCCTGTATTTCACTTTCTTTTCAATGGAGAGGAACAAAGCAGAAAAGCAGCTAAGCAGCTTTTAACTCCCTGAATGGTCTGGGATTCTTCAGATCTAAAACTATTACATAAAGTTGCCTTGGGGTCAAAACCACTGCACACCCTGCAAAAAATTCTCTGAAGGAAAAACCTTTTAATAACAAGTTATAGAGCACACAAGTAAACAAGCCAGTAAAGGGAAATGTTAGTAGATGCATCAAATAGCAGCATTATAGCCAAAAAGACTACAAACGAAGTCTTTACCTATGGTTGTAGGGCCATGTTTTGAGTCTTCTGAGGATAGGGAGGGTAGATTAAGGCAAGGACCGATTTCTTACCATCCCTTTGGCTTGGGTTGAAATCTTTGAGCTCCTCAGCTTTTTTCTTATAAAAAATTACAAAATGATATTAGGCGATAATTTTAATCGCCCCACAGCCCATTTCCTTCCTTGGCTCCTTATAAATAGAAGTCCGAACCCAAAAGCAACATTGCCCAGCTTGGGATCCATTCGCTCCAAGACTGGGCGTCCATAGTTGGGTTTTACAGGATGTGCGAACCCCATGAGCCACACAGCCTATGAGATCATGTGCTGCCCTTGTACACACCTGAGCCTGAAAGGGTGCTGCTGGCTCATCCAGGGCCTGCTCACAGAGAGGAGCACAGGCTGCTCGCCTGGCAAAAAAAAAAAAAAAAAAAAAAAAATCAATTCATGGATTGGCCAATCCGCTGAAAGCCGAATGAGATGCTGAATGGTAAAACTGATAAATGACCATTTTGCCAAACCATGGAGTTTACAGGAGTTCAGGATTCATGTAATGACGTCAAAAGCATTGGAGGATTTTTTTAAAAAATCATTTGACCTCCAAAACTCAGCCATTAATCCTCAGCTGTTTTTTAGTAAACTTGTTAGTTCAGTTTATTTGGGTGCCAAACCTGGATGCTTATGTTTCAGTCTTAGGGAACACCTCACATTCTCAGCATCTCACCTCTGTGAGTGTCCTTGTCTTCTCTTATTTGTTTGTGATTCATTTCCAGATTGGACTGTGTGGAATGCAAACATAAAATTGTGTATGCTTTCCATCTTTTAGGGAATTCACTTATATATGCTTTAGCAGCACCGTATTAAAGTACAATTAATAGTAAAATAACTCAAATGCATGATACACGTACAGCTTGGTAAACTTTCACAGATGTCTACACTGGTGCAGCCATGACCAAAATCAAGATTAATAACATTTCCATCACCTAAGAAGGTTTCCTTGTGCGCATTTCCACTCAATTTCTTTCCCAGAGCTAACCACTTTTTTGATTTTTATCACCATCATTTTGTCTATACTTGAACATGTTGTGAAAGGATTTCAGTCTAAAATGGAACCAGGAGGATATAAAATGGAAAATCTCATGCAAGTGCCCTCAGAGAAACAATATGTGAAGACTGAGAGACTGATTTCCCATAAATGCCTGAGTTATAGAAAACGGAGAATGTTGGAATTTTCTTAAATAATAGGGAGTTAGTTGGTCTGGGGTTACCTCAGATCACTCCAGGGAAATTTTTGCTTATGATTTCCAGAGGAATAAACAAGAAATGGCTGAGGTTGTGATGGTCTTGCAAAATAAGCTAAATTAAGCTTCGTTTGGGTTTTGTCTGGATTTTCAAGGCTGGTCTCCTTTTGTATTCAATTTTCACAGACCTAACCGAGCTCTCCCCTGTCTTCATCCTTGCTACTGTCTGCGTCCTCAAGTGCACTACCCCTACTGTTTCCAAAAACTCATCTTTTTGACAGTTCTGAGCTCGACATTCATATAAATGGAACCATGTAGTAAATGCTCTTTTTCAATTGACTTCTTTCTCTCAAAAATGAATATTTTTGAAATGTACTCAAGTTGTTGTGTTTATCAGTAGCTTGTTCTTTCTGATGACTGCGTGATATTCCACTGCATAAATATATCGGGATTTATTTATCCATTCTCCCACAGGTGGATATTGGGGTTGTACCAGTTTTCAACCATTACGGATAAAGCTGCTCGGAACATTCTTGTACAAGTAATCATGAGTAAAGACATTTATTTCCCTCAGATGTAGGCAGAAAAGTGAAATTGCTGATTCGTAGGGTAGATGCATGTTTGACTTCATTAGAAACAGTTGAACAGTTTTCCAAAGTGGCCAATTTACCATACTGAGAGACGGGGTCCCCCTGGCTCCCCATTCTCACCAACATTTGGTGACCTCCGTCTTATTATTGTTAGCCATTCTGTGGAGACTGCAATGGGCTCTCCTTTGCATTTCACTATTGCGTGATGGCGACGTTTGTTGTTGGCCATTTCTATCTTCCTGTTTTCTCTTGCAAAAGCCCTGCTTTTAAATCTGTTCATTTAAAAAAAAAAAAAGGATTGTCTTTATGCCATTGATTTGTAGGACACATTTTTATGCCTAGGGAGGAGTGTTTGGACCATTAAATATGCAGAGTCCGTCCTCCCTTGGTGGCTTGCCCTTGCGCTTTCCTTATGTGGCCTTTGGATGAGCTAGAGTTGCACATGTTTGCAAAGTCTCATTTATCACTTTATTCTTTTACATCTTGTGCCTTTTGCGTCCTGTCTAAAGCATGTTTGCCTACCCCCAAGATGAGTCTTTCCTTTCTATTTGTTGCTCTGCTCTCCTGTGGCTGCCCCATTCCTTGCTCTTTGGCATTAGCTGAAAATGCCCCACCTCCAAAATCACAAATTAATCATCCTACTATCTCCCCAGATAGTAGGGGCAGGGCAGTTTTTCATCTGCAGGATGAAAAACTAGGATAGTAGTAGGATAGTAGCTTCTTATCCTACTACACCCGTTCCTTGACCTTATCCATTGGTAAGGATCCTTTCTTCCTATTCCCCAGAGTCCTTCCAAACTGCCATTACCTCACGCTAGGGTAGAGTCAATGATGTTACATCCTTTTGACACAACTTTACAAACCTTCCTCACTCTTCCACCACGATCTTTGTAGGTTGCCCTTACATCACAGAAACCAAGCCAGACAGAGTGCATGGACGTCTCTTGTTCACGGCAACAGCTGAGCGCCATCCGAATGAGCCATACACCTGCACCAACTGGTATCATGGTAAATCCGTGGTTGCTAACCTCACCTGCCTTTATATCCCTGCCTTGAGATGTCAGTGCTCCTGCTAGCTTTCAAATATTTACATTCTTTCTAATATTTAAAACTTTGCTCACTCACCTTAACATTTGCCTGCTTCCCTTCTTGCCGCTGAAATCAAAGGAGATTGTGGCTGCCTGGGCAGTGAGGGACACGGCCACTGGGGAAGTCGGAGTGAGGGTCCCGAGGGAAGATCCTCAGGGAGCATTGTGTGGTCCAGCATGCAGGTGAAAAACTGCCCTGCCTTGAACTTCACTAGGTGACAGGAGGTGAGGAGAACCGTCATTCTTCCTGTATCTTCTTTGCATTCTCTGTCCCCAAGTCACACTGTTTATTTTCACGTTCATATTTCTCAACACTTCTGCTGACTATCTCAGCAATGCTAATTGCAGACTGTTAGGGCTTTTGTTACTGCTAATTGCAGAATGTTCGAACTTCTGTTACCACTAATTGCAGAATGTTTGGGCCTTTGTTCCTTTTTTTAAGTCAAAATACAGTCCCTGTGCCTCATTTTCCCTTGCTATGTCAATAGCACACAGGTGTGCAGGGTAAGGGAAGCCAGGAAGCCAGGAAAGGAAGAAGCATCCCAGGGCTGGTGTAAGTGAGTGGCTCTTATTCCCTGAGACAACTGGCCTGAGTGGATGAGAAGTGTGGGTCCCTGGGCCCTCGGGTGCTGTAGCTGTGGGACACTGCTGCCTGTTGGGCCTGTGGCCTTTGGCAGGGAAAAGTAGGGACTATGAAATGTAGCCCTGAGAAGGGAACCGAGGGAATAGATCTTGCAAACCAGAAGAGTTGCTAACCTTGCCTCTTCTCTCCTGTGATTTCTCCTATGAGCTACACTCAACTGCAAGATAGAGGAAAAAGGACCCCAGTTAATATCCCCCAGTGAGGTCAGCCTCTCAGGACAGGGTGGGTCTGGAGGGGTAGACATAAAATATCCAGAACATTTTACCCGGGCTGGGCTTGAGGACAGGAAACCCTGAGCTGGCCAAGCCTGTGCTGTAGGCCAATAAAGTCCTGGAACGGTTTCTGGGGAATCTGCACCTGTAGTAATTTATAGGCAACCCAGGCCCCTTTGGATCCCATCAGGTGGATTGAATCTTGGTGACTCTACAGCACCAGCCACTCAGGACAGGGGGCTGGGGAATGCTGCTGGGAAAAGGAAAACATAAAGACAAAATTTGGTGTGAACCTAACATCTGAGAGGAGACTGGAGGACACGCAAGCAGAGGGGGAACAGGGATGCACTGGTGGGCGAGCTCCAGCCCAAGCAGGGGAGGTAAGCGAGCAGCCTGGTTGAGGTGGGTGCAGGTGAAGCAGA